GACGGGATTACCAAGATCTGAAATCAGTTGTACCGGGTATCTTGTCTAGTCGTTTGAGATGGCAGAAGATGGGAAGTTCCGAATTGAGAAGTTCGATGGTACAGATTTCAGTTGGTGGAAGATGCAAATTGAAGATTTGCTGGTTCAGAAAGATTTGGACGTGGTATTGGGTGACAAGCCAGAAAAGATGTCGGATGCAAATTGGGCAGGTTTGGATCGGAAAGCAATGTCCGTGATCCGTCTCTCGTTGACCAAGAATGTTGCCTTCAACATTCTGAAGGAGAAGACAGCGAAGGGAATTATGGACGCGCTGTCTAACATGTACGAGAAGCCATCTGCAGCGAATAAAGTTTTTCTGATTAAAGAGCTGGTGAACACAAGGATGAAAGAAAGCACTTCAGTTACCGAGCATATCAACAAGCTGAATTCGATCTTAACCAGACTTGCGTCAGTGGGCATTAAGTTCGATGATGAAGTTCAAGCTTTGCTACTGCTATCGTCTTTGCCTGATAGTTGGTCCGGAACGGTTACAGCGGTTACCGGTTCAGTGGGACCTGATGGATTCACCTTTGATTAGATTCGAGATCTCGCTCTTGGCGAGGATGTCAGAAGAAAGAGTTCGGGGGAGTCATCTGGTGAATTGCTTCATGTTGGTAGAGGCAGAAAAAATAACAGAGGTAGTGGGAGCAGGAACAGACAAAGGAGTCAGTCGAAGACTCGTGACAGCTCAGGTGTAACGTGCTGGAAGTGCAAGGAGGTGGGGCATTATAGGAATCAATGCCCGAATGACAAGAAAGTGAACATTGCTGAAGGCTCTGCGAGTGATGAAGAGGTCCTTCTTACTTGTTGTGCGGAGAGCAATGTGGATTCTTGGGTCATGGATTCTGGTGCTTCATTTCATGCTACCCACAGCGGTGAAGTATTACAGAATCTGGTTGTTGGAGACTTTGGAAAGGTACGACTTGCAGACGATAGGGCTCTTGAGGTGACGGGCATGGGTGACATGGTGTTGAAGACCTCAGTCGGTCTTTGGACTTTGAAGGATGTCAGAGTGGTTCCAGCCTTGAAGAAAAGTTTGATTTCTGTCAGGCAGTTGGACGAACAGGGACACGAGGTGAAGTTCAGAGATGGGCAGTGGAAGGTTGTGAAGGGAAATCTTGTCATGGCCCGCGGAAGGAAGAGTGGTTCGTTGTATATGGTCGAGTTACCATCTGAGGGAGTGACCGCCCCAGTTCAGAAGAGAAACAAAGTCCGGTTCACAGAGTCTCGTGGGCAGAATAAGGTTGTCTATGCAAGAGAGAAACCTAGAGCCACAGGTCAGACTCAGGATGAACGAGCGTGGAAAGGTTCAAGGGGGCCAGTCAGAGGTATTTATGGCAGTGGGAGCTCAAGAGGCGCTTCAGCCAAGTTACCTAGAAGACAGTGGGTCAGGAGAACCAGTATTCTAGCTGTTGGAACATCTCCAGAAAATTTCTTGCTGAGTACGGAGAGTGTTTGTTCTCAGTATGTTCTAGGATCCGGCAGTGTGCGTCTGCAGTGGGAGCCGGTAGGGACCGAGGACGAGTCAGGGACAGATTTTGCCGTGACTGATGTGTTGGAGCTTGGGAGAGCTTCAACGGGCCTTTCAGTTGTCTGATGATAGGGCCGCTGTAACAGGAGAGCTGAGGAAGATTACTCGATGTACAGGCAATCGTGGTGGATGGCAGTTGATGACTATCAAGCCTCCAAGTGGGAGAATGTTGGGTTTGTGGANAGGATCCGGCAGTGTGCGTCTGCAGTGGGAGCCGGTAGGGACCGAGGACGAGTCAGGGACAGATTTTGCCGTGACTGATGTGTTGGAGCTTGGGAGAGCTTCAACGGGCCTTTCAGTTGTCTGATGATAGGGCCGCTGTAACAGGAGAGCTGAGGAAGATTACTCGATGTACAGGCAATCGTGGTGGATGGCAATTGATGACTATCAAGCCTCCAAGTGGGAGAATGTTGGGTTTGTGGAGGCTTGGGCTTGACTTTTGGCCCGGCCCATGTTACGAAACCCTAGATGCACTCTTCCTATATATATTGCATACTTGTACTTGTAATTCGCACTACAAGTGAAATAAGAAAATCCTCCTGTTGCCGCCGTGGATTAGGAAAACCGAACCACGTTAAATTCTTGTATGTCGTTTGTGTTCCGTTTCTCTCGTTTCTCGCAGATTATTTGTGTGTGTTGTGTGTTTATTTCCCAACAATTTCCTATCTCCATTAAAAATTGAGCACTAATAACTCTATTATAATTGTAGTATTTGTCCGTACATACTTTTTCATCATATTGACGCACCAAGAGATATCGTCTCCGCGACTCCGCCTCACTAGGAATTGATCTGGTATATTCTCTTTTTTTATATAAGAGTAGATAATGGATTAAGAGTCCTAGGACATAATCTCACAAAATCAACCAATTCTTTCCCTCCGTCCCTAAATATTTACCACATTTGCTTTTTCAGCAGTCGCGGGAACTTTTGTTTATTTCGATGTTTTCATTGGTTATTTGATAAAATAAAATATTCTTGACACATCTTATTTCGAAGAACTTTTCATGTAGTTTTTTTATATGTAAATTTTATTTTTTATTTCTATACCAATATGTAAATAAAATGAATTGAAAAAACTTGATATTTTGCCTCAGAAATACAAATGTGGCAAATAATTTGGGACGGAGGGAGTAACAAAATATTTGCGCTTGACTTAGAAGAATTCACATTCATTAAATCAAAGTCAAAACTGTTATTGGATTTCATTGATATTAAAGTTAAGAAATAAACACTTAAATGTCTATTAACATATCATCCAAAATAGAAGTAAAACATAGAAATTCTCTCAAAAATAAAAGTGGCACTTTTTATCACTAAGATAGGACTTCGCACCGTGACAATATGACACTGTCTATTGATATTTCACAGTGTTTTTTGTATTATATGTTGACATTATTGACATTTTTTAGATAAAAATATGAAGATTCTATTTTGGTATTTTCTTTATATTTTACTCTTGTTTTAATTTTTCTTTCATCTCTATTATAGCTAAACTTTCCAACACTACATACTTCCTTCATTATGTTTTATCTTGTTATTTTGACTTTTTTGAGATATTAAAATGAATGGATGCAGTCATGCAGATAGAATGCTATGTTTTTTCGTATATGTTAATATTCGTTCCACTTTTGTGATATAATGTATCACAAAAATTCTAGCTTAATTACTCTTTCCCACCCAAAATGTTAAGAAGAGAAAAAAATGTTTTAGATCGTATATTCTTTTCCAAAAAAGAAAGAAAAAAATGGAAACAATATTTTAAGAAAGATGAAAATGAAAAAAAATTATTTGCCGCTTAGAAAAAAATAAAAATATTTTATTCGGTCTTATAATCAAATTAGACCAGATTGGATACGACGTTAATTATAATCAAATGAAATTAAACCAATTTAGATCAAGCATAGAGAATATGCCCTACAATCTCCTAAATATTTCCAAGATTTTGCCGCCTTGTCCACTACCCTCCCTCAGCTGATCACACAGAACCGGATTCCAAAGTAGAGAGCATCACCGAATCTTCAACTTGCACGAACAAATTTATGCTTTTCTTTATTTTACATAATTAAAGAAAAAAAATTTGAAAGAAGAAATGCCTAATTTACCACTATATAATTAAACAACCATGCTAGGGGTACACCAAGAAATGTACCCCAAAGAGATGCGCCGATATTTTCACGGTTCACACTGGCATAAAATACTAGTGTAATAAAAAAAATATGCACTGGCGTTTTGTGTCATTGTAAATCATCACACTAACATTACAGTAACATAAAATGTTGGTTTATGCCTTTAGGATACAAAGTGGGGTATAACTTTTGGAGTACAAATAGCTCAGTTCATAATTAAAACTCAATTTGCCCCTTTTAAATCTCTTTTTAAATCTAAAGGGCCTAAAGTATTATTAAGTATGTGGTTCCCTTTTTTCCTGAATTGAATTAATCTTGGGTCTAAATAAGTGTAGGGACACTGAACAATATAAATGTCTGTCTTAAATATTTGTGACAAGATGGGATCAGATCCGGGGTGGGTCAATGAAGAATACTCTCTCCGTCCCAAAATATTCACAACATTTGCTTTTTCAGCAGTCGCGGGAACTTTTGTTTATTTCTACGTTTTCATTGGTTATTTGATAAAATAAAATATTCTTGACACCTCTTATTTCGAAGAACTTTTCATGTAATTTTTTGATATGTAAATTTTATTTTTTATTTCTATACCAATATGTAAATAAAATGAATTGAAAAAACTTGATATTTTGTCACGGAAATACAAATGTAGCAAATATTTAGGGACGGAGGGAGTAATACCAATGACAATTAATTAGTACCCAACATACATAAGCTAAGGTTGTCTGTCAGCTGGAGTTAGGGCGCTATGAGCGCGCATCAGCCTCATATATTAAATAGTTCCTTCACATCTGATCAGACCTTTTAATTTGTCTTCATCCTCGCAACACAACCTAATCATACTCTCGTCCTTAACCATGGTTAGACCTTTCCTCAACGGGCGTTGTTTAATTGGTCAATATAATGATGAGATGCAAAAAGGCGTAATGACGTTACTGACAACTGTAATGAAGGACGATCGTGCTTTGCATTAGATTCTCGCTTGTATTGTACATACATCCGCTCTTTATTGATCAGTCTATGATTAAAATTTTATCCTTACTAATAAGTACAAATGACATTTGCAAGAAATACATGTTTCATGTTTGACTCTCATTAGACTAAAAAACATTGTTTTTAATACTCTCTCCGTCCAGAAATGTCTTCCCATTTTGACTTGGCACGCTTGTTTCGGAGTAACAAAAAAAATGTCTTCTGAGAATTCCCCTACTTTAATGTTGGGGTGAATAAATTTGGGTGGATGAGTGTTAAAGTGGAAGTGTGTTATTTCCATTTACCTTTAAAAAGTAATCTTAAAAAAAAAGAGAAAAAATTTCTGAACGGACCGAAAAAGAAAGTGGGAAGAACATTTTGGGACGATGGGATAATATAAAAGCTTGGCAACATGTACTCCCAATTCTTATATGAGCTCTCTCTCTCTCTCTCTCTCTCTCTCTCTCAAGAGAAGAAACATGATATAGCTACATAGTGTGAGTTAATTGAAAATGGGATGTTCTTGTATGAAGCCGAAGCGACGAGTTTATGAAGATGCTGCAGTTCTATCATCACAAACCCATTGTAAATAGATATATACAAAAGAAAACTCCATTGTTTTTTGGTAGCTAATGAATTAATTGGAAAATGCTTCTGTTTTGAGGGAATTAATGAAAAAATTCAATACATTTTTGCATTTGCAGTTACAGTCAAAGAAGTGAAGGCCCTGCTTGAACTCTTCAGCAATTTAAGCAGTTCCCTAAAGGATGATGGCTTTATTAGCAAAGTACAATCAATCCAAGTGCTTCCTTTTTTTCTTTAATATCTTAGATGATCTTCATTCCTCTTGTGTAATGATATTTTATGTCTGGGCATATAACTGAGTCTTTTTTTTCTCTGGGTGCAGGAAGAATTTCAGATTGGACTGTTCAGAAACAGCAAGACACAGTCTTTCTTTGCAGATAGGGTATCAGTATTTTGATGAATTTAGTTATACTCTCACAGTCTCTTTATCATCTTCTTTATTAATCAAGTGAAAAGGGTGTGAAAATATAGAATGTTTTCCTATATTTTCCACAACCGTAGTGTATTTGGGTTTTGTTTCAGATGTTCAAACTGTTCGATTCCACCAACGACGGCGTTATAGAATTCGGGGAGTTTGTTCGGGCGTTAAGCATTTTCCACCCAGTTGCCTCCCTGGAAGAAAAAGCTGATTGTATGAAAACTACACTAATCAGTTCCAAGAATCATAGAATCATGAATATATATTATTAACCCTTCTTCAATTTTTGCTTGCTCAATCTCATGTTGCAGTTCTGTTTAAACTCTACGACGTACGTCAAGCTGGCTTCATCGAGCATCAAGGGGTAAATGACCTTTTTATATGCCAAATCCCTCTTTAACTCAGTATAATTGAGAACAATGTTTGATATGATGTGATTTAGTCAGGTCAAGAAAATGATTATGGCACTTCTGCAAGAATTAGAATTGACACTCCCTGAGGATATAATACAAGATATGATCAACAAGGTACTTAAAAGCAACCCTCTTTACCATATTTTTCTACTATGCTTTTGTTTCTCAAGTCTTTTAAATGAAGTTCTTCTTTGCTCATGGAGACTTTTGAGGAAGCAGACAGTAACGATGATGGAAAGATAGATGCAGAAGAGTGGAAGAATTTCGTGTGTCAAAATCCATCTTTGTTGAAGAACATGACCATTCCATATTTGATGTAACTCTACTCTCTCTTCCCTTCTTCAAAACTGTTGTTGAAAATTTGTTCTACTATACTGAAATGAACAAGTTACTTTCATGCAGGGATCTCACAGCTGCTTTCCCTAGCTTTTCGACCAAACTAGATACTGATGACGAAGGAAATGACACTTTTTGAATTGTAAAACCAAGTGAAATTGTTGTATCATACATCTGAAACTTGTACATTTCTTGGTTTTCCCTTCTCCTTTTAACTACATACCATAGAGATAGAAAGAAAAAAAAAGAGTGCAAAAATATACACTATGTGACAGTCTTTACCACTGGCTAGTTGTGATGATTTTTAGGCCTAATCATGTCCTTCAAGTTCATGGGGTAGCACATACTGATATGCAAGCTAGACCACACGTTGTCGGCAATGATAGAGTTAACCGCATCCGTTGGATGAAACTGGTCCCACCATATGTAATTAGTTGCATTGCTGCAAGCCATCTCAGGAGCTATGCAGAGAAACCACCCTTTGTGCCTCCCAAAACCACAGCAGGCTTCTGCTGTAACATTGAAGCTGTAACGGTCGTGGTTCTCCATTATGTCCATTGAGGCTTGGAATGCATCACAGAAGATGATCTTCGCGTGGGCGAGCTCGCGACCCAGTTCTGCAACCGTTTGTCTCATCACAAAGTTGAATTCAAGAATCATGTCATTTATCATGTCAACACACTTCCCATTTGTTGCAGGGTACATCCAGAGGTAATATGGTGCACAACCCATTGGTGCCAATCCCATCACAACCACTTTCCTTACATTGGCGTTGTACAGATTCTGTTCATCAACATATTATTGTGCCAAATTAGAAACCCACACTTTTTTTTTGTATGAAATGTAGAAAAACTCCTTCAAAAAAAAACCCTGGATTATATTACCTTAATCTCCCGCTTCATGGCCTTTGCCAAGAACCGGTTGAATCTCCATGGAAGGTAGAGAGATTGAACGTTGGAGACATTGCGGAGATAGTAGTGTATGTAGTCATTGGTGCCCATGGAAATGTAGAACACAGATTCTGAGATGAGATCAGCTGCAGCTTCTTCACCCATGCTCAGTGACAACTTCTGAAAGGTATCAGTCACCTGCTGAATCTGCTGTGTGAGTGAGATATGCTGACCCTGTGCAAACAATTTTCACCCAAATTAATGATGGAAAAAAGATCATCTTCTTGAGCAGATTGTGAAATATATGGGGGGGAAAATGGTACCAGTTCAGATCCACTGGAGAAAATGATCCCAGCTCCGGCAGAAGCGTAATTCACACCCTGAATCATGGCTTCCACAGAACCGCTCACGCTAAGATAACTCGGAACAAATGGCAACCCCAGACGCAATGCTGAATAAAAAGCACATCAGAAATCAAAACCAAAAACCAAATTGTTCATCCAAGAACCAGTCTTTTCATGTAAATCTTGAATCCCCAAAACTTAAAAACCCGAAAACTCAAGAAATCAGAACCCAATTGCAGGAAACGTAAATAAATTAGACATCAAGAACTACTAAAAACCTTGAAATTACTGGAAATTATTAACCAGAGAACGATAAATTCAATCAAGAAATTCGTACCCAGATAATCGACAGGGATTCTTCCGTTGCTGAAACGGCCAGTGGGCTGGTGGGTGTCGAAATCTCGCCCGTAAGGAGGCCTATCTGCCCGAGCAAAGGTGCCGAGGAAATTGTTGGTCCCGCAATCGACGGAGGAGTCGCCGATGACGAACAGCGCCGGAACCAAAGGCGGAGAGGAGAAGAGAGAAGGAGCCGGTGCGCCTCCGCCGCCGACGGTACTGTCCTGATGATGAGCTGACGACGATTTAGCGTGGTGGAGGAGAGGGATGAGAATCAAGAAAGCTCTGAGCAGTGCAGAGAAGGCCATGTTTGTAGGACGCTGGATAGAACAAGATTCCTCAGTTGGCGGGAAAAATGGAGCTATTTCTAAGTGCCCGTAACAATAACTCTAGGCTCCGGGGACTTCAAAGACAGAGGGTGTAAATAATGGGAGAATCTATACTATATACAAAAGCAAAAGAATTAGGGACATAATGAAAAAAGACAACAACAACAACTCAGTTGAATCCCACAACAGTAGGGTCTGGGGAGGGTGTGTGTACGCAGACCTTGCCCCTACTCGGAAGTAGGGAGAGACCCCCGGCTCCATCTGCACAAAAATATGGAAGAGAACACAGTATAGCATAGATAAGACACCAAGTACAAGCAACAAATACAAACAATATCAGAGAGAATGAAAAAAGAAAAAGAAAAATAAAAATGGTGTTTTTTCGCCCAGCGTATTGTCCTTTGAACTTCCCGAGCTCAAATACTCCTCTTTCTTCTCTTCATCTCTTGGAAATCTAAAAAGACAACTACGGAGTATTTTGATGGAATGCTTTTTTTTTGAAGAATGTGGCGGATTATGGTTTAAAATAGTAAATGTGTTGTTAATTGTAATTAATATCTCTTTCAAAAGTCTCATTCATTTTGTGGTTCAAGAAATAGGGAAGTAATTAAGAGGTTTGAGTGTTTGATTGTCTATATCTCCATCTTAAAATTATATCTCCATCTTAAAATTAACTTTCCGGTTTGCTTTTTATGGTCAAAATTTTTAAACTTTGACTACATGTTATAGAAAAAATATATTAAATTTTCATATAAATTTAGTATCAATAAATTTATTTTTGAAATATTTTAATTTTATAAAATATATTTATATATAAATAGAGATATTAATAGTCAAATTATTGCATCGGAGATATTAATGATATAAAATCAAATGAGAAATTAATTTTAAGAGAAATGAAGTATATAATATGGAGATTGCTCCATTTTGTTTTACTTATAAATACTCCTTCAGTTCTCAAAAAGGGTTCCTAATTTGATCAAGTGTAAAAATAAGGTAATGTTAAATTGTAGTTGACTTCCAAATTTGCCTTGGATGTGATGGGTAAAGCTAAGTAAGATGTGATGGATAGATTATTAGAGAAGAAAGTATAATCTGGTATATAGGTAGGATATGAAAAAGTAATGATAAAAGTTATTTTAAATTGAAAGTGGAAGTGTTTTGAAGGAAGTTAAAAAAGTGAAAGAGGAAGTATTTTTTGAGAACGGAAGGAGTATAATTTTCTGAAATAATCTACTACTCCAAAAAAGGAAAAGATTTTTGGAAAAATTTTCACACCCAAAAATTCTGATTTTTCTGCTCCGTTTGTTGATATCAGTGGCCTGGAAATAGATGACAATCTTATTCTTTCTTAGTTCTTGGGATTGAAATTATAGTGCATTTATTGTGTTTTTTCTACACTGATATATGGACTTAAAAAGGTAGAGTTGTGGAGATGAACCGATCTATCAAAGAAATATCAACAGACCTGACTTATTAAATGAATCCCTTTCAATTCACATATCTTCCTCATCTATGGCGTAAGATGATGCTGTCATTGGCAACATGAAAAATAACAGAGCCATGACCGCTCTTCTACCGACCTTGACAACGATGATGAACAGGGATAATAGAATCGTGGCCTCTTCATACGTCCTCTCTTCCGGTGGCTCTAGCACCGCTAAACAGCTTATATTTTAGTAGTTGTGGGGCAACGACAACATGATGATTTTACGTTTTAATTATATATTTGAATTTAGATAATTATATTATTAAGTTCTCAATTTTAAAATTTTTGAAAAAATTATTTTCCGTGCAACGCACGGGTATGAATCTAGTTTACCGAACACTGAATAAATTAAGTAGGGTGTATTCAATAAGGAATTAAGATTTTAAAAGTCTATGGGTATTAAATTAAGATTTTAAAAAAAAATTTAAAATTTTAATGTATTCAATTAAAAATGGATTGTGAAGGATTCTATAGGCTCTAGTATAAATAAAAATGCATTCCCAAATTTCTTCATAAATCATAAACATAGGGATTTTAAAAGAGACAAAAATATTCATGCTAGTTCATCTTCCGTAACTCTACATCTTTCGTTTTCATCTTCCGCAAACACACATCCAGTATATTCGATTCTTCGGGCTCTGACAATATTTACAGAAGTGCCTGGCCTGGGTTGCGACTTGGTGTTTGCAGTATGGAAACCTTGGGCAAATTGGAGCACCTCCATGCCCTTCAAGCCTGAATTTCTAGTAGATCAGATGCATTATCATTCGCCTAATTACAGTAATTGACACTCCATTATTGGACTTCTCAATCAAGACAATTGAATGTGAAATTCTACAGATTTCTTGTATAAATGTGTTCAATACATTATTTTTTGTTACACTTTTCTTTCAAATTGTAATTACTTTATTTTTATTGTGTTTTATTTATTTATTTTATATTTTAACACTAGTTATTGATATTGGAACAATCTATAGAGATTTAAAATCTAAACAAATCTTGATAAAAAAATACATTATAATCTTTTCAAGTCTACGTAGAATTAAAAAAATCTATTGATTTTGCACAATCCATGGATTATAAAAATTCTTACAAAATCTTTTAAAATCTGAATTGGATACACCCTCCTAAATTATAATCTTTGTTTCTTTATACACAAAAAATAGCATTCTTAGGAAAATACGCTGTGCCAAAACATTATTTTCGAAGAGGAGTATTGTTAATTCAGGAAAGAAATATAACAAAATTTGAAAGAAGATTGGGTAGGGACTGCGCGAACGCAGGCCCCCGCTGCCACAAATTATGACGTAAGCTCTACCACTTGGGTAAACCTTAAGTCGAGTCACAAAAAGCTTTTGAAAATAATAAGGTGAAAAATTAATTTGGAATGTCCCAAAAAGAAAATGAAGGTGTTTAATTTGGGACAGATGAAATAAAATTTCATCAGCGATTGTAGGACAATATCCTGACCCTGGGAGTGATTCTGTACCTTTATTCATTTTTGTAATTACAAAATCTCCATTATATTAGACATGAAACTATCTATATCCATTTTCAAACATCTAAACGGTTTTTAAAAAACGGGAAAGGATTTAACAAAAAATTGGAAAAGCTAACACAGTCACCCGGTATGTAGGTACTGGCAGGCATGATCACTTACCGTAATAGTTTTCGTAAGACAACTATAGTGAGGACGGGACCCCCATACCGTTAGGATGGTACATAGCTACCATTTCAATGGTAAAGTTTCTAAAAATCTTAAATTCTACTCCTTTTGTCCCAATTTAATCAATTTTAAATTCTACTCCTTTTGTCCCAATTTATGTTTTTTATTTTACTAGTCAAACTTTAATACCCTTCTTATTAATTTTCATTAGTCAAACGATACAATAATGTAGGTATGTCAACTCTTATTTTGTAAGTTTTTTCATATAATTTTCATATAATTTTTAAATATGTAAATTTTATTTATTGATTCTACCCCAATTTTAATGTAAATTAATTTGAAAGTAATTTCAGTCAAACATCATAAACAACATGCAACTTAAAATGGGACGGGAAGAGTAAAACATTGACTCCACAAAATAACACATGTAAAATGGGAGCTAATAATAATAATATATTATAATTATGATATTATAATTATAATAATAACAACAATAGCGTAATGAAAAAGTCTTAATTAATAAAATTAATAAAACGGATGAAGAAGGATGGATGGACTCCATAGTCCAAACGCATGCATACTTTAACTTTTGCGTTAATATATTTGAGAGAATGAAATGTGTGCATTCCATCCCACACCGGCTGGAGAAGAGAAAAGAAGCGGGGGCAGCAGTATATAGATAGGGGCCAAGGGACTTCGAGATCCATACTTACCTGGACAGGTTCAATGTGTTATCAAGAAGACCCATGGCCTAGGCTGATAACTTTCATTGCACTTTGGATGGGTGTCCGCTTAAGGTCTACCCAAGTGGTGGAGCCTATGTCATAATTTGTGGTAGTGAGGGTCAGGGTTCGCGCGGCTCCTACCCTATCTTCTATCAAGTTTATTACGGAGTATATTTCTTTCCTGCATTATTAATATTTCTCTTTGAAAATAATGTTTTGGCATGGTGTATAATTTTTAAATACATAAATTTTACTTTTTATTATTATATCAATTTGTAAATTGCATGTTTCGATTTATGATGTTTGACTGAAGTTATTTTTAAATCATTTTATATGAAAAAGGCTAAAATCCACGGTTGGTCATTCAATTTTATGAGTTGTGCATGATTGTACTTTTAAGTTTTAAAAATGTACAAATAGTCTTTTAAGTATTCATAATCCTCCACATGTAATCCTTCAAATTTCAAAAGTCCATAAGTAGTCTTTCAAGTATTCATCAATCCTCTAAATACAGTCTTTTTTACGGTACACGTTAAAAGATAAACGAATTACTTCTTTCATATATATAATACGAAGTACTTGTACCTATACGTAGCTGATTGTTTTTTACGTATAAGGAATTAATGGGTTTCCACAATTCCACAATTTCAATAAAAGTTTTGTGTTCTTTATTATACAAATCGAACCTCTTTGAAAGTAAAATTATCCCCAACATTTATAATGGGAAGAAAAGACCCACTGCGCTCTTGGAGGACGGGGCTAGCGTCGGACGGACACCCATTAATGTCGGAAGTTGCATCTGGCATTGAGGCGTAAGTTAAATATATGGAGCCAGTTACATCTGGCACTCATTGTATGTTGAAAATTATATATATATATATATATATATATATATATATATATATATATATATATATATATATATATATATATATATATATATATGGAGTTAGTACTCAATTTAGCTTTTAATTTGTAATGTAAAAAAGACTGCATTTGAAGTTTTGATAAAAACTTGAAAGACTATTTATGAATTTTTAAAACTTGAAAGACGAAATTTGAAAGTTGTTGATTACTTCAAGAAATATTTATGAACTTTTGAAACTTGAAAGAGCAATCATGCACAGCTCACAAAGTTGATGGACCAATGATAGATTTTAGCGTATGAAAAATGATATAGAATTAAAGAACATAAATTACATTTTTAAAAATTACATCAATAGATCTACAAAACTAGTGGTGACATACTTATATTATTTTATCAAATGACTATCAAAAATAGAGAAAGAAAATGAATGATTTTTGACCTTGTAAATAATAAACATACAATTTAATTTGGGACGAATGTAATAATAATTTAGCTTCCCCATTGTTCGTTTATATTCTAATAAATATTTAAAATGTTTGAGCTTTACTCTAAGCGATTTAAACTTTAAAATTGTCTTGTAAATTATGTATGTGGATACCATCTCATGGCAAGCCAACATGCTAACCCGCATAATTTAGATTATAGGAGTTTAGTGTTACAGTAAACATTATCAATAATTCAAGAGATTGGGTCAATCCAACTCAAACAAATTAGAAACAGGCATAATCTGTTTGCTCGAATCCAAAACAATCTAAACCCGAAACGACTCGAATCCAAAATAATGTGAATCTATCAAAGTACTAACCTCAAACATGAAATGACCTGAATCCCCAAGTCCTAAACCCATAGTTACTTGAAAATTAAACCTAAAAATGACCAAACCCCAAAATGACAAAACTCATAATTTATTTTAATGTAATGATCATTTGTAATTAGAAAAAGGATGTGCAAAAATGAACTGAAAACTACTGAATTAATCCAATATGAAAATGAGTTTAGTAGACCCCAATGTATGTATTATTGTTGGAGGTAAGGTATAACAAAGTTTCGTAATGGTTTGCCAGAAGAAATGTTGCTCCTCACATCAACAAATGAAATCATTATTGTGATCATTTTAAATACTTGGCCGGAAAGGAAGGAAAGTTGCTCCCCCGAGTTAAATAAAACAGAGTATTATTTTGATAATTACCCAGTAATCCCCTCTCACCAGTCGTATGTCTTCTGCAACCGCAAGTGGTGTGCTTTTTATAATCAACGCGTTGGTCGATCAGTTCACACCATATATCCATTTTTCTGCGTTGCTGGTGTAGTTAACCAACTCTTCCGGTTTGAACCATAGGCCGATTTCATCTTTTGCTGTCTCTGGGCCATCACTGCCGTGTATGATATTCCTGCAAACAAGAATGTTTGTCAGGCTTCTTATGGATTTGATTTGAGTACGTCTGTGAACCACGAATGAGCTTGAGAGGATAAGAATTAACTCCTTTATTTCATAAATCATAATACGTGTTTTCGTAATTTGAATTTAAAAAGAAATCTGTTTGCTTTGCTGAAACTTTTTTTATTCAAACCATAATTACCATTTACCAAAAGCAAAAGAAGGATACAAGGCAGGACAACTTCTGTACTTTGAAGTGAACATGGCAGAACAATGCCTGTAATAAAATTGAGAATTGAAACTAGAGGTTATGTATATCATCATACCTTCCAACTACAACGGCCAAGTCACCTCTTATGGTCCCAGGTTCTGATTTTTGGGGATCAGTGGCTCCAATAAGCTTACGTCCGTATTTTATCACTCCTTCACCTTCCCAAACCTGCAAGAATAGAAAATTCTGTGCTCTAAACCTATTGTATTCTACGAAGCAAGTGTGTTGAAATGAATTGGAGAGCAGAAATTTTTCCTAACCATTGCAACAACAGGACCAGAGCTAAGGAAGTCGCATAAGCCATTAAAGAAAGGTCTTTCTTTGAGATCATGATAATGCTTCTCGGCAAACTCCTTTGAAGGTACCAAAACCTTGATTGCAACAAGCTTGTATCCCTTCCGTTCAAAACGGGATATTATCTCTGCAATCTGAACCAGAAATTCCATCGGATTCGTTATAGAGAACCATAAAAGTGGCATGTGGACACTCAGAATAAATGTCTTTGATTCTTTCAAGAGGACTAGAGGAGAAAGATCAGATGGATTTTGCAAGAAACAATTAAGACATAAATATCATACCAGACCCCTCTGCACTCCATCAGGTTTGATAGCTATAAAGGTGCGCTCCATCTTGAAAGATTAAAAAAAATTACCCTCAGTCAATCCCTGAAAATAAAATCAAGAGGCAACGTGCTAATAAAAGGAGAAAAGCATGGCTACCTCAGCAGCATGTGCTTCTTGATCCTGGAGCATGTAAGCTGAGAAGAAAGGCAGAGGAAGTTATGAGTGTTAAAATTAGAGCAGTTACAAAATTCAAAAAACTAAGTCTAAAACTTAAGATTTCTTCCTGAAATATGGAGTATCAATCTAATAAGAGAGTAGTTCAAGCCTTACAAGTTGGCTTGTTTTTTAATATTTGTTCAATGGGGAACATCTTCACGAACTTGAAGGAATATTAGGTTATGGACTTATGGCATCGACCGAGCTGCTTTTATGATGGCGAATTGGTTTCATTACAGTCACACTAATTACATTGATGTGCTTCGTGTTACAGATATGATAAAATTTGCAGTTTACAGAGTTATCAGATTAGATTTTACACATCCATGAAAATACCACTCTGCAATTGTTGGTCCACTGATAATAATCAAACTACCTATCTTCCTAATTTTATTTTTTCTCTTCTTCGACAAAATCTCATGCTAAGAGTAAATGAAGACATTTGAAGTGTGTTTTGAATACATCCACTCTCGTAATACTGACCTGCTGCAGGAAGAGCAATGACCCCAGAAATCCAAGCTCTAGAGGCATTTGTCCGCTCTTCCCTACCAAACGAGGCAAGAGAAGGTATGAATCCTCTGAGAGAGACAGCAGTAGCTGCTGCTGCTGCTCGTCCTCCTGCGTCTATCATACATCAGAACAACATCTTCATTGTATGGAAAAAAAACATACTTCCTCTCCTATGCACTTATTTGTTACGGAGTATTAATTTTAAAAACAGTCAAACCATCCAGTTTCTTCCCTAAAAGGGGGAATTAACAATTCATGGTATCCAATCAACAAGATCACCATGCATACGCATAAACAAGCATCAAGGAAAATTTGACAGACAACAGAGATAATTAAGATCGAGGACATTTTTCCTCTCCAATATGATAAATATACATCCACTGATGCGAACAATGTCAGATCCAATGATTTCTCCACACCTTGCAGTACTAAACAGAGGATTCCTTGAAAACGCCATGAAAATCGCAAGCGCAACATCCAATTCGGGACAGAAAAGGCACAAATTCGATTGAAATGAAACGATAAAATTACCAGAAATGGAGCGAGAGCACTGCTTGGAATAAGAAGAGAGAAGGGACCTGGCGGCTCGCGGAGCAGCAGATCTACAAATCTGTGAGCTCATCTTCTGGATTTTTAAAGATCGAAATGGAACGGAAAAGGGAGGAGCAGAACTGTGCGATCTATGGGAAGCTCAGCCAGCTAAAAACAGGCCAGTGGATGGAAATGCAGTGAAGAAGACGATGTTTAAATGGGTAAGTAGAGATTTGTACCTTTGGCATCACGAGTTGTACGGTGGGAACATCAATGGAGGTTGGGCCGAGTAAAAGTAAAAACCAAGTAGCGGTAACGCACTCCGAGCTCCGAAAAGCATGGAGCGTATCCGATTCCTACAAAGGCTTTTAAGTTTTAAAAGCAATCTTTTGATTGGAAACTACTAAAGGGACGTCTACCTGTACAAGGCTATGTGAGACTAGTGAAGAGTCAATAACGTTTTCATTTTCGATTAATGTTAGTGTTTTGAATAAAATTTTAATGGTGTATATTAATTTTGAAAATATTAACGTTAAATGTTATTTGTAGATAGCTTTTTTTCAAAATGCTAACGCTAATGTCTAACGTTATTCCCAAACATGCCCTAAAAGTAGCGGAAAAGATAGATTGAGATAAATTGACATTGAAAACAAAAAAATTGAGATTAAAGTAGTTCCTGAGATCGGGTCAGTTTTGGAGTTTCATTTGGTCCTTGATTTTTTTTAATACTACCTCTGTCTCAAAGTATTTGTCCACTTTCATTTTTGCACATCATCCAATACACTTCTTTAATCCATTTTATCTTGTAATTTGTATATTAAAAAATTATAGAAATTACTCCGTATTTATTAATAATCTATATGTTAAGACAAATCAAACAAGATCACACATGACTATATTTAGGCTTACACATTGAGAGAATTTGATGAGTCAAAGTGCTTAGATGAACAGTTCCAAAAGTCAAAAGTGGACAAATATAGCGGGACGGAAGGAGTATAAGACTAGATTGAACACAGACTTGGTAATCTTTTATACAAAGACTAGACTGGTGTTGGACTAGTACTATGGATTTAATGTATTTGGAATATAATTTTTTACACTTACATCAAGAAATGTATCCTAAAGTTATGCAAAAAATATACACTAACATTTTGATGGTTCATACTAGTACAAAATACTATTGCAATTAAAAAAAATTTGTACTAACATTTTGTGTATGTATGAACAATCATCCTAGAACCACACTGGCACAAAATGAATGTGCACACCTGTGTTGTATAATTCGGAGTTTTATATTTGAAAAATATTGAAAAATAGGAATAAAATATTGAAAAATATACCAAAAATAGGAGTTTCATATTTTTATTTTCGAAAGTTAAAATGTATTTACCAATCATGACCATATAAATTACTAAAAAGTATTGTGACATATTTATATACAGTACCACATGTGAACTTTTATTTTGTAGATAAAAATATGAAAATCCTATTTTGATACTTTCTCTGTATTTTAATTCTTTTTAATATACTTTTTTATCTTGTCAACACAGGGCATAATGCTTTACATTATTTTTTATGAATTTACAAATAAATGATAACAAAATTTTATAAATCTCATATTTATAAAACATACACATTAAAATTCATATTTTTGTTGATCCTATCTAACTTCCGTCGTAGATTATACAGTACATCTAGGTGTACCGTATATTCGGTACAGTCGGTAATTACATCGTCGTTCGTGTTGGGTTGCCAAAGTCGCTGCTTGGATCCTCACCGCTGGTCTTTGCACAATGTCAAGTCACTTGAGTCTCGTACTCGAGTTGTTGGCCGCACACCGCTAGAAGCTCACCGAAGTGATGGATCAAAACAGTGACAAAAGAAGCAGTCGGGTCGAATCGCAAATATCTCGTCGATTTAGAAGCGTTGATCGCCCAGGAAATAAATTCAAAAAAAATCTCCTTTACAAATTATAAATTGACCCCAACTCTTGAATGAGCATTACATTATTTGAAAATGAGCACTATTTTATTTTAGAATGAACACTAGTTATTCATAAATGAATATTATAATAATTATATTGAACAAATGTGTGAAAATGAGTACTACATTGTTGAGTACTACAATATTCAGAATGAGTATTATGTTATTTCAAAATGAGCACTTATGTTTTGTGTGAAAATGAATACTATTTTATTTTAAAATGAGTACTATCCGGTTGCACCTTACTTCTGGTACAACCGATTGTACCATATACGTACTCAACTTCCACCTTACATAATGCGGAGTAATATTAATGCATCATAATTATTATAAATCAATAAAGTATAGAAATAAAAAATATTATATAATCAAAAATAAGTTTTCTTGTTTTTAATGAATTTTTTTAAGGACAAACATTTAAAAGGTTTACATATTAAGGGCCGAAGCTGTCTTGGACCAGTCCTAACGAAACTATCCTCTCCAAAAATGTCTCTATTTTTTATGAAGGCCGGATTTGTATGGATCGTTATTAAAAAAAGATTGGACCGATCACGTACAAAATAGTACCGGTGTTTCCAAGGGACCAATCTAATCTGACTAGTCTGGTCCGTTTACTCATCTCTAGTGAGACAGATTCACGATTGCATACGCAAATTTTTTTAGAAATCAAGTTATCTTTCCGTTTTTGTTGGAATTGAAATCTGATTTTTTTTACCAATATTCCCTTCGTTCCTAAGAAAAACTCTTTATTTTCTTTTGGAACGTCCTAAAAAAATTAATATTTCTTTATAGAAACTTTTGAGTGACTCACAATCTTTTCCTCTCCTTTGCATTATTTTTAAACACATATTTTTATTTTTTTTAAATTTTGTGTCAAGTCAAACTAGGAGTTTTCTTAGGACGGAGGGAATATATACTATGGAGTATGTAATATGTAAAATTGATGCAATTTATTCTATGTATTTTTATTGTTATTCAATTTGGTAAATTCATTAATTAGTTCTATTTGTTACTCTGAATCTCTCACCTACACTTTATCATAGAACCACGGGTCAAATTCTGTATGATTTCTAAGCCTGTATTTTTTCACGAGGATACCCGGATATATAATCGTGTCTACTCTGATTTAATTTTAATTTTTTTCTCATCTGATCTGATTTTAATAAAAATAAATATTAGAGTGTAGGTGATATAAATATGTTTTTCAAAGGAAGAAAGACTAAAATTGGACTAAAACATTGAAAATATACCAAAATAGGACTTCTATATCTTTATTGTCGAAATATGATTTAAAATGTATTTACATTACCAAACATGATCATGTACATTACCAAAAAGTATAGTAATATGCACATGTACAATGTCACATTACCACAATGCAAAGTTCTATTTCGAGAAAAAAGCATGAAAATTTTATTTTATTACTTTTCTCTATATTTTAGTCATATTTAGAGTGAATTTTATTTTTCAAAAAACAAAAAGACTAAAGTAGAAATTAAAACATTAAAAATTACGTAGAATACCAAAACAAGACTTTAATGTTTGGGTAAAGTTATTTATACCCCATTTTGTACAGCGCAAGGATGCACTAACATTTTGTGTTGGTGTAATGCTAATTTTTGTTAACGCACCAACACTTTGTGTCCGTGTAAATTTTGTTAATGCACTAATATTTTATGTCAGTGTAAACCATCAAAATGCATGTTTGTGCATACCTTACCTTGGGGTACAAATGGGATAGGGGCGCCGTCAAAGAAAGGATCTAGGCAGGGAGTCAGTAGGAGAAGTCAACCGTTTACAGTTTTGGCAAACCAGACGATAATACAATAATACTCCGTATATCATTAGCGTTCGTACGTAGTGGTTACTTGTTAATCTCTCTCTCGTCTCCAGAAACAACTCTTCCTCCACCCACGCCAACTGTCACGCGCAGCTCTCCTGCTCAAGTTAATAACCACTTCTTCCGACCACCGCAAACATCCGACGAGGTCCGTTCCTAAAAAAAACTTTTGTCTATGTGCTGTGTTTTATTCAATTCGTTGCTTCTTTCTTCTTGTCTTGCGCTTTACAGAGTGAAATTCCTCACTCACTCAGAAAGTCTTAATTCCCAGGGAAATTTTAGCAATCCAGTTTTAGGGTTCGTACTTTTGTTTGTGATTCGATTTTGAATTGTATTTTGATATGTAAGTAACACTTTGTACAGAGCCTCTGTATAAGTGCTATTCAAGTCTGTTTGAACAATTAGTTGTGACTGAACTCAGGCCTATCCAATCCGCCCAGGTCAAATTTTAACTGTGTGTTTCCTTTACTGTGGGATGATGATGAAGTTGGAAATCTTCAGATATGATTACTGGTTTAGCTCTACGGAGTTGTTAGTTTTGTAATTTATGTAACTATTCAAGCAATTGGGTTACATTAGAGTCAAATGCTTTAACAAAAAACACAAATTGTGGATTATGTTAGTTTTGTTTTGATAATTTACTTTAATGATTGGTGATAATAATTGCTTTTAGATGATCTTTTATTAGAATACCGAGATCTAGGTACACCCACATGTGGGGCCTTAATGGGTTGTTGCTAAGGGTTTATACTTTCTAGCTTTCTTTTAGTATCAGATTACTGGATTGTAGGGTATCTAAGTAAGCAATAGCTGCATGGGTGATTGTCCTCATGGAATAGAAGTTTTCCCGGACCATTTTCGAGCTTCGACATCTTGTGCAGACTCTCCTCAAAGTCCAACTCGGTCTACGCCTTCCAAAAATTTATACAACAAGTCTTTTAGGTGTGTACAGTTATGTGTATGTTGAAATGAACACACAGGTCAAATAAATGGGGTGTATTTATAATTGATGCAGAGTACTATATAAGCTTCTGTGTCTTTATTAGGATAGTTCGAGCTGCAGGTCGTGGACCCAAATTAAGTTAAAGAGCACATTATCGATGATGAAGTTACTAAGCTTGCGAAGACTTCCATGGGTAGCCGACACGGATGGCCAGGAAAAGGTTGGTGCTATTGCATTGTTATGTACAATAATTGGATATTAAAATCTGTAGTTCTAATGAGAGTTGCTGTCATTCGCAGGTGATCTTAAGTGCAGCAGAGGTTGCATCTCTTCGATCTGAACTCAATGATTTAGAGGAAAGAGAGTCACACCTGAAAGCTCGGTAGGGATGATTTTTGCTAATGTTTGGTTTTTAAAACCTTCACTCATGCCACATTGAGACTCTCTATACCCAATAGGATTTGTTTGGATACAGGGTTTTGGAGGGGTTTGCTTCTCGTTAGGATCATATAGAGCTTTCTTTTAATCCAAATTAGATCACCCTTTTTTTTGCACTTTCTAAGTTAGAAACTTTGTAATGCTCTTTTGAATTGTCTTATGATGAATTACGTGATCAAATCTAATAAATTTTGTTCTGTGCAGTCTAGAGCATGTTGATGAATTACTACGGTCTGCTCGTCTCTCTGGATATCTTTACATAAGAATGGTGAGCATTCCCTTCTTCCATTACTGTGTTTTACGGTGTCCTTTTGTGATCAATTATATGGTTTTGTTTCACACACTCAGTTACCGTTTTTTGTAATATATCTTTTCCATAGAGATGGGCAGCACTGCCCGGAGAACTTCCTCCCATTGATGATGTAGAAGTTGACGACTGGGTTCCAAGATTCATCGTCCTCCACGGGTCGTGTATTTACCTCTATATGTGTTCTACGGGTAATCGGAACTTTTTTTCCTCTTCTTTTTTCAGCTTTTGCAATGTATGTTCCATTCCATCTGTTGGCAGTTTGAGAGAGCGAATATGTGACGTACCATCCCTATTACAAACTTTGCAGATATGAGCCCTCAGGATTCAACCATGCTGTCGGATGTGGTCAAAGTGGGCCCACTTCCTTGCCTCGCGCGGGAAGGTGAGGAAGCTCGGCATTGTTTTTATATTTTAACTCGTCAAGGTTTGCGATACGAGTGCTCGAGTACTTCTAGAATACAGGTACTCTCTCTCTCTCTCTCTCTCTCAAGAACCTATGCAAGTTATTCCTTCATTACAAGAACAACAAAACAACAAAACCCAATACAATCCCAACTTTGTTGGGGACCAAAACAAGCACAAGAAACAGAGAGGCTATTTTTGTTGGACCCTCGTTGCATTGTTGCATTTAGCTTCAAAAACCTCATATACTCTTTCCATTCCAAAGCGAAGTTTATACTTTACCACTTTCTCTTTTTGGGAAATGAATAGTGTGGCTCTTATCATTTCTCTCTCTTCTAAATAAATTTTCATCCATACCTCTCTCAGTTTTCACCACCTATCTTAAACTTCATAAAATCGAAGTTTAAATGTCATTTTGTGATGGAAGGAATAGTAATAAGCAAAAAAGTTTAACATGCAATCTGCAACTTTGATTTAGACCATTATTTGATGCTAAGATATTGTCAATAATGTCTGTTTACATCTTGTCCCCATCCCAACTCCTGACTAGGATTCACTGTTTTTGTTTGATTTGGTTATCCAACTGCTTATTGAAGATGACACAATTATCCAATCCTATTTCAATGACTACCAAATAACTGGCACACAATGTGTTTTTTTTTATCACAGCTGTTTATCCTCATTTCAGGTTGATATGTGGCTGGCATCATTGCAAACTGACTGCAAAATGGGATCAACATCATTGCCATCAAAGACGCAAATCGAGACTTCGAATCGTTAACCCGTGAGTTGAATGAATTTGGGCATGATATCTAGATTCATATAGATCTATCAAGATGCTTTCGTTACGTTATGTACATAGTAAACAGTGCTGTAGTTTGACAAACTTACTTTGTGCAAGTATCTAAAGAATAATAAAAAACCCTTTTGAGTTGTATCTAAAGAATAATGGCTATAGAATTTTTATTACGGGGGTAATATTTAATTGTCTATCTCTAACCGATCCACTTATGTATAAATAATAAGAGTAATTCTATAATCGGTCCTTTTTAACAAGAGATTTTTCATATTTAGTCCTCTATTATCAACTACTCCGTATTACATTTGTCGTTCTTCTTTTATGAGTACCTTTCCACGGATAGTTCTCTTTTGACCTTCTGTCATGTTGGTGTTAATTTGATGGCTAAAAGTGTAATTTTACAATGATCATATATCTTTCTCGTCATATCCAATGTCAGAGGTCGTTGCTGATGTGTCTGATGATTCATAGCAATCATCATACTCAATAATAAAAGTAATACGAGTAATAATTACAATAATAATAATGATGATAATTATTAATCATTTCGACAAGTATTAATCATTGTGACGTTTGAGTTTATCTTGAAATTCCAAGAAAATACTTAAGGGATAGAGGAAGTGGAGAAGTATAAATCATTTCAAATTTATATTACTCTATATTATTTTTTTAAGATTTTTAGACGTACTACTCCGTATATACTATATACTACTCCTTATATACTTCGTAATTTACAAATAATATAATACAGAGTAAGATTCTAAAGGACTAGTTTTTTGGACTAGTCCTAGTCTTTAGACCAATCTTTTACTAGTCTCGGACCAGTTCAAGTCCATAACATGTCTTTTACTAGTCTTAGACTAATCTTAGTCCTCTATAAACATTAAGGAACATTTGAGACTACTGGTTTTGGATTATACTAGTCTCAAGGACTATTTTGGTCCCAATCTTTTAAGTCTAAATCCTAGACATTCTCGATCAATCTTTCCGGTCCCGCTCTTTATGCTCTTCTCTACTCCTTCGTCCATAAATAAACTTCTCGTTGCGTGTTACGATGTTTGACTTAAGTTATTTACAAATCATTTTATATGAAAAAATGATGTAAAAATTTAAAAATAAAAATTACATATTAAAAAATATATCAAAAGAGGCTATGTGACATAAAGGTGATATAATTATATTATTTTATCAAATAAGTAACGAAAATAGGCCAACAAAGTGAATAAAGTTTGATGTATGTACACGCGTAATATAATTAATTAAAACTCTTAGCTAAGAAGACCGCGTCCACTTTCTAATATGCTTCCATCACCCCCACACTGCTCGATCTCCCTCAGCATCTACCATTAATTAATTCATTAACTGCTTCACTACGACTATCATACGGAGTATATATATAATATATATATATATATATATATATATATATATATATATATATATAGCACTTGAGCTAGTTAACAAAACAAAAGAAAACATGAAAATGGTAATAATTAGCCTCATGAAGAAGAAGAATCCATTAGTATTCCTCAAGAAAAGAATTGAAGCATCATCTGTGCAGAGAGAGAAGGGTGATGGTAAACCAAAGCCAGGAATGATAAGGAAATCCCCCGAAATTGCACAAGCAGCGGCGTCAGCAGCAGCCTACAGGGAGGATGATCCGCTACTGGACGACGGCGACGATGCCACTACTGAAAAGCCGCCGCCGGCGCCGCCATCTCACGGCAAGGTCGTCAAGAAGAAAGTGAGGTTTGCTTTGGATCATCAACGCGGTGGCGGAGAAGGAGAAGAAAAGGAGGAGGAGGAATCCGGCGGCGGCGGGGGGTTGAAAGTGAGAATATTGGTGAGCAGAGGAGAGGCAGAGAGGCTGCTGTCGAGGTGTAAAGATGGAGGAGGGGTTCTGGCGTTCACAGACGTCGTGGCGGCTGCTCATCACGGCATCATATTGCCGCCCCTCCGCCGGGAATCTCTTTTCTTCCCTCCCTCCTCCTCAGCTCTCCTATAATTATCAATTTTTTATTTAGCATCGGAGAAGATTTATCATATGATTACATATTTGTTTTGAGAAATTTACCTAAACACGAATAAAACATAATGACTTTCCCAATGTAGGACCATATGTTTTTATTTCCCAATATAAGACTTTTGGTCATTATCAAGTAGTCATTATTCACCATCATTACTAGACATTATAAGAATTTAAGTTCTACATTGGGAAAATCATTATGTTTTAATCCTATTTACTACAAATTTTACATTTGTTATCACTTGCAGAGTACGTAGTATATGACAATGGTTATTTTGGCAGGGTTTAGTTTATTTTATTTTTTTGTTTTTATTATAATCAGATCAGAAATAATTTTAATTATCTGCAATTATTAGATCAGATCAGACTAGATCAAATCTTCAAAAAATCAGAAGACATCAGGCGAATGGAATGCAACCTTTGTTCCGAGCTAAAGTAACTTTAGAACAGAAAAAGTATTACTCCGTAATTATATAGGGTGGTGGGACTGGTGGACAGATATTATGATCCAATAAAAATAAGAAATACTTATTCCATCCTATAAAAAAATCCCATGTTACTACATACCCCGGAGTATATCAGATTCGTCCATTAATTTTCTTTCTCACTTTCCATTTTAAAATGCCTAAAAATTTATTTTCCATCTTTTATTATGGTAAATTTTTTTTAATGAATATACCATATATTCATAATTTTTCTCTATATTATGTACTTTAATCCATCACATAAATGGTAACACATGAAAGTATCTAGACTTTATTCAAGTACATGGTTAAATCATGGGAGATGCTAGGGGTACACCATTTGATGTACCCCATTTGTACACCACTCCCTTCATAACCATTCATTTATTTTTTATTTTTATTTACTTAATTTTTTAAAAATTTCTTACCTATTTAAGTGGTAATGGAAGGGGTGGGGGACAAATGGGATACACCTTTGGTGTACCCGTAGCATTTTCCTTAAATCATAACTTTTCATCACATATTATCTTGACGTGCATATGTCATCAAGACACTACATAGGTTGATCCATGAATTGAATAGGAGCATGCTACATGTATTCAAAATTTATACTTTATCTATCAAAAGTATGTACTAATATTTTAATGGTTCACACTGATATAAAGTGTTGGTGGGTTAACAGAAATTTATACTGACACAAAGTATTGATGCGTTAACAAAAATTATCATTACATTAATACAAAATATTAGTGCATCTGGGCAGGATATAAAATAATACTATCCAATTGAATATGGATAAAGCTATTGTACCCCATTTTGTTTAATCCGTTCAAATTTCAAGTGGGTGTGAATATGTTTAGTTCGATTGTCTCGTACTTATTGATCTGAAAATTCGATTTTGATTTCAAGAGTAGTGTATTATAAAGTCTAAACAAATCAAAGAACTAAGGGTATCCCCACCCACCCCCACCCCTACCCCCACTAAAGAAAAGAGGCAAGGAACGCACAAAAACAAGGCGAGTGGTCGTCGGGAATCTGTGCCGTGGCTAAACCCCCCAAAACCCTCTCATCTCTATTCCCCGACGCTCTCAAGCTCCGATATGCACTTTTTTACCCCTTGTTTAGCTTTTCTCGTTTTCTTGAAATCCCCAATCTTGGATTTGCAGTCTGCATTCATCTGTTAATTTCACACGTGTGCGCCATTGAAGATCCGAGCTTTTATGGTTCTTGTTGCCAGTGCGAGTGAAAGCCCGAAGCTTTGAGGTATCTATAATCTATTTATTCGTTTTCTTGATCTCTTAGTATTTATGTTCCTGGCCTGAATTTTATTGTTTTTTTCTTTCTTTTTCTGGTATAGAAGGAGTTTAAGTTTTAAAAATGGCTTACCGACGGAGTGTGATAACTAGAGCGAAGCATTTCTATGAACAACAGCGGTGTGCTCAAACAATTCCCCACATTTACTGTGATGATGACCGGAGAAAACCCGAATCCAGTCTGCACAATCCCAGAATTTTAAGCGATCTTCAGAGCTGTTACTTTGGAAATAGAGTTAACAGTGTTGGTGGCAGTGTCCGGAAGCTTTTCCCTTCACAGCTCATGGTTCCCATGAGTTTGGGAGTCCCTTTCGTGAGGAATATGTCGACCAGTGTTGGCGAGGGAATTGATAAGATGGAGTACATGTCTGATGTTGCTGGAGTTCTGTCTGATAAGGCGGTTGAAGCCGTGGCTTCTCAAGCTCCAGCAGTGATGTCTGAAGTTGCAATTGCTGCTTCTGACTCGTTTTTGCCCGTGGCTGCCTTGCAATATGTGATTGACTATGTTCATTGTTTTGCTGGATTGAACTGGTAATATTTGTTTGAAGTTTCACTGCTTAGTTTGAAATGATAGTGTTTTTTAAAACACGAACTACACTTCGCTTTGTTTTTCACTGCACCGAGCTGCAAAAGTCGATACAGTGTTGAGGTCTGCTTATTTTTGTTCAGGTGGTCATCAATTGTCTGCACAACTCTATTAATTAGATGGTTAAGCTTGCCATTGATGATACATCAGTTGAAAGCTACTTCAAGATTAGCTGTAAGTTTTATTCCGTCTTTCTGAATACTGGCGTTTAGCTTTGTTCTCCTCTAATGGTTTATTTCTATGACTTCTTATGCATACTATACATTCAGCAGCCTGTGGAATATTCCCATCATTCCCCTACCTTCAGCGTGAAGCTTTTCAAAACATAACATTATGTATTGGGAATTTATTTTATGATATCCTCTCATTTAAGTAATATTGTATCGGAGAAATACATCTTATCTACCCAACGTGAGATGAATTGTGGAATGGCTTAGTTGAGTTGACTATCTTCATACTCATTTCAGCTGTGCTTAGTGGCCTTAATGTCCACAATTTATTTGGAATTGGATTTTTTATTTCATCCATTTCATTTGTATGAGGATCAGTGCACAACAAATGCGATCATCATTTTTTATCCTGTTTGTTAATAATAATGATTCTTGCTTGGTTTATAATATTGGGTTTCTTATTGTTATTGTTGTAATTACTATCATCATTCAACTGTTTATAAGCATTCTTGGATGCTACTTTTCACCCTAAATTTTAAAATTTCTACCGACTTTCGGCAGGTTTTGAAGCCAAAGTTGGACGAGATAAGAGAAGAGATGCAAAATAAGGTATTGACATGAGTGTTTTCTTGATCTAAAGTTGTGATTTTTGCTCAACTGTTTAGCTCATTTATACACCTCTGAGCTCTTGTAACTCAGTGTATCATCGATCGTTTTTATCATTTGAGAATTTTTTTTGTTATCATTCTAGGCGTCCTCGTTCTCTATATAAAGCCTTATAGTCTCACACACCATAAATTTCATTTGATAAGTTCTTATGAAACGCTGTATCCACAAGAGATAATTGTTTTGTATATTGTCAGGGCATGTCTCCTTCAGCTGTAAATGATGGTCGTGAGAAGATGAATGCCATATTCATTGAGTATGTCATATGCTTATTTATTTCCACTTATTCGCTGCTTAATTTTTCAATATGAAGTATGCTTACAAGGATGCATGGCATGTATATTTTCAGACATAAAGTTACACCGTTCACTGCCTTGAAAGGGATTTTTATACAAGGTCCTGTCTTTGTCTGCTTTTTCCTTGCCGTAAGAATGTCTTCTCTCTACCATGTTACTCCGTACATGTTACAGTTTCTTGAATATTGCTTTATTATTATTATTATTCCGTTGCAGATTAGTAACATGGCAGAAAAAGTCCCATCATTTAAAGAGGGTGGTGCATTCTGGTTTACAGATTTGACTACTCCAGATAGCATGTACATCTTTCCAATTTTGACTGCATTGACATTTTGGATAACAGTCGAGGTAAGTTTTTATTCCTTTACCATGTAATCGTTTCCTTGTTGAGCTTTCTCAATCATATGCGAGAGAAATTGAAATTGTGTTGTTGTGATTTACTTCGGGGAGGGAAAAATTATTCGAACTACACGATTGTTTCCTTAGAAGGAATTATGAGCCTTATTTTGGGACAGACACAAGAAGAAAAGAACTTTTTTTTAAATCAAGAATCCCCATATAAAGCTATTTCTTGTGTATAAAATTGCTCATTTGGTATTCCTATTGGGAATTTATACGTCGTTCTTTCCTCAGTGTAATGCAATGGAAGGAATGGAAGGGAATTCCACTGCGTCCACCATAAAAAATGTTTCGAGGGTATTTGCTGCATTGACGATTCCATTTACTGCAAGTTTTCCAAAGGTACATTTCTGGACGATTCCATTTTATCTTTTCTATTTCCCTAATCTAAACATTGTCAAATACTCAACAAAACACAAGGCTCAATCCACACTAGAACTTCTATAACCAGACGCATGGGGTATGTTTGGATCTCTCAAAATGTCGGAAAAGGAAAAAGACCGCCAAAGAAAGTTAGTTTCTTATGTTTAGCTTTACCTTGGAACTATGGCCTTAAATAAAACTAATTAAAACTAATCTTACAAATTGCAACTGCTAGTGATAAAAGAACATTTTATGCATATTGCATAGAAATTTAGAAAGTAATCAAGACTTCATTTTGAACTCATTTATATGGCTTCTGTAATCTTTAATGGGAGATCTTTTGTGACTACATTACAGGCCATATTCTGTTACTGGATCACCTCCAACCTTTTCTCACTCATGTATGGATTGGGTGAGTCAACTATTTCCCTTTTTTCCCCCCGAAAATTTGTCATTTTTTACGCTAGAATTTCACCCCCACCCGGTTGTATCACTAGTAATTAAAAGGCCTCAAGTGAAGAAACTCCTCGGTGTGCCCATAATACCCCCGGCGCCTAGAACCACGGATCCAAAACCTGCAGTCCCATTTTTTGAAGCGCTGAAGAAGTATGCAGCGGCTCAAGAGTACGCGGCAAAACAAGCCACTCAGCAAATTTCACCATTGCCTACCGAAGCTCCCAAAACTTCAACCCGACCCTCTTCCCCTGCCCTTAGTCACAGGATCAGAGCCTTAGAGAAAGAGGTCAAAGGAAAGAAGAAAGGAAAAAAGAGGCGATGATGATGATGATGCATGTTATCAATCCAAATGTCTTTTTTTGTTTGTTTGTTTTTTTTTTTGCGAGTAATAAACTGCTGGCACGAACCCGTGAT